ACCATCAACCTATTGAAGCACATTTGGGCTGTTTCCAAATTTTGGCCATTACAAACCAAAGCTACTATAAAACTTTATGTACAGGTTTTGTGTGGATGCAAGTCTTTATTATTCTAGGATACAAGCCCAGAAGTGCAATTATTGGGTTATTTGGTAATTAAATCTTAATTTTATACACATATATAAATTCATTTATACCTTCTGCCAAATGAATTTCCAGAATGGCTGTACCATTTCACAATCCTACTAACAATGTCTGAGTGATTCAGTTTCTCTATATTCTTGCCAGCAGTTGGTAGTGACACTATTTTTTATATTAGCCATTCTGGTAGGTATATAGTAAAATCTAATCGTGGCTTTAACTTGCATTTCCCTGGTAACTAATAATATTTAACATCTTTTCATGTGCTTATTTTCCCTCCATATGTTACCTTCACTGAAATATTTGTTTACGTCTTTTGCCCATTTTTTCTAATTTGGGTGTGTGTGCACGCGTGTGCTTAGTGAGTTTTGACAAGACTGTATATATTTCAGACAGTGCTCCATTCTCAAGTATGCGTTACGGAAATTCTTTCCTCCAGTCAGTAGCTTCTCTTTGGGTTCATGCAACAGAGTCTTTTGCTGAGTAAAAGTTTTTAATTTTGATGAAGTTCAACTTATGAATTTTTCCTTTAAATATCACGCTTTTGGTAACAAATCTAAAAACTGTTTGCCTAACCCTAAGTCCCGAACATTCTGTATTGTTCTTCTCCTAAAGGTTTTATAGTTTTACATCTTATATTTAAGATTATGACCTGTGTGAGTTCCTATTTATAAGGTTTGAGACTTAAGTCAAGATTGTGGATTTTTTTGTCTATGAATGTCCAATTACTCCAACTCTATTGGTTGAAAAGGATATCTATATTGACTTGCCTTTGCATTCTTGTCAAAAATCCTTTGAGAATATTTTTATAGATCTATTTCTGAGTTCTCTTTCTCATCTCACTGATCAATCTATCTATCTATCTATCCACCTGTCTCTATCTCTATGCAAATACCACACAGCCCTGATTACTGTAGCTATATAAGTCTTGAAATTGAGTAGACGGATTCCTCTCAGCTTATTATTTGTTGACAAAATTACTGTAGCCATTATATCTCAGCTTTTCTATATAAATTTTAGAAAAATCTCAACTGTATCTCCAAAAATGGTGAGATTTGACTGGAACTTTGTTAAAAATATATGTCATTTTGGGGAGTATTGACATACTTACCATGTTGACCATTCCAATCCATGAACAAGGTATGTCGCCTTTATTAGGTATCCTTTAATATCTTTCATCAGGATTGTGTTTTTCAGCATAAAATGCTATACATTTTTAAAAAATTTATACCTAAGTATTTCATTTTTGAGCCATTAATAATTGGTATTTTATTTTATATTTTGGTGTAAACAGGTCGATTGCTGGCATAGAAATACTATTGATTTTGTATTGCTTATCTTATATCCTACAACCTTACTGGACTCACGTATCAGTTATAGGAGTTTTTCTGAGATTTCTTATGATTTTCTTCATAGACATTCATGTCATCTGGAAACAGACAGTTTTATTTCTTCCTTGTAATCTGGAGGTCTTTTATTTCCCCTTCTTGCCTTACTGTCCTGGCTAGACCTTCCAGCATTATGCTAAATGAGTGGTGAGAGTGAACACTATTGCCTAGTTCCTGATCTCAGGGAGAAAGCATTAAGTCTTTCACCATAATATTATCTATAGGTTTGTTATAGATGCTTTTTATCAAGTTGAGGAAGCTCCTCTCTATTCTCCTTTTTCTGAGAGATTTAATCATGAGTATGGAATTTTGTCAAATGCTCTTTTTCTTGCATTGATAGATAGTACCATGTTATACTTCATCTTTAGTCTGTTAATCTGGTGGATTACACTGAATAATTTTCAAATACAGTCATGCGTGGCTTACTGATAGGGATACTTCCGAGAAATGTGTCCTTAGGCGATTTTTTCATGGTGCAAACATCATAGAGTGTACTTACACAAACACAGATGGTATAGCCTACCACACACCTAGGCTGTGTGCTGCTAATCCTATGGGACCACTGTTGTATATCTGATTCTTTGTTGATCAAAATATTGCTATGTGGTACATGACTGCATTGAAAGAGTTTTGAGTCCTTGGTATAAAGCCTACTTGGTCAGGGTGTATAATTCTTTTTAAATATTGCTGAATCCTATTTGCTAATAATTAGTTGAGGATTTTGAAGATTACATTCATGAAGAATATCAGTCTGTAGGTTTATTTTTGGCACTGTCTTTGTCTGGTTTTGATATCGGGTAAAAAATCGAGTTATACAATAAATTTAGGTGTGTTCTCTCTTTTTCCCAGAAGTGATTATGTAAAATTAATGTTATCTTTTAAATCTTCAGTAGAATTCTCCAGTGAAATCATCTTGGACAAGAGATATTATTGTGGGTATTTTCAAGTTAAAAACTCAGTTTTCTTAGTAGTTCTAGAGTTGTTCAAATATGCTATTCCAATTTGGGTGAATCGGGGTTTCAGTTTTTTGAATAATTGGTGTACATCAGCTAAGATGTGTGGAGAGTTGTCTATATTATTTCCCTTTATATAATTTTTGTATCTGCAGAGTCTGGGATGCTATCTGTTGTTTCATTCTTTATATTGGTAAGTTGTGTCTTTTCTCTCTTTTTCTTTGTTAGTATTGTTAGAAGCTTATCAATTTTATCAGTATTCTCAAGGAGAAAGCTCTTTTTTCATTTATTTTTCTACTATTTTTATGTTTTCAATTTTACTATTTCCTCCTGTCTGTATCAGTTCCTCCTTCTTGTTTCTTTGGGTTTATTTCACTCCTTTACTTCTAGATTGTTGAGGTGGGAGCCGAGAATACTGATGTGACGTTTCTTCTTTTCTAACATCGTCACTTACTGCTGTAAATTTTCATCTCAATAGCATTTTACATGAGTTCCAGAAAATGTGATATATAGCATTCTCACTTTTGTAATTCTATTTTGATTTACCTATATTGATTCTGAGTGTGTCTCTTGTCTAGTGTTTTTAGTCATTGCTCTAGGTATTGCATCATACACATAACATCACATTCTAATTTAGTAATTTTTGCTTCACCCATTAAACATAATTTTAAAAGTAAAGAGGAGAGGGTAAGTTTATTACGTTTATCTATAGTACTGCTTATCATGTTCCTTCTTCCTTCTTGATATTCCAAGTTCCCTTATTTTATTATTTTCTTCCTTAGAGAATTTCCTTTAGCCATTATTTTAGGATAGATCTTCTAGAGAAAAATTCCCTTTGTTTTCCTCCATCTGAGAATGCCTTGATTTTCCCATCATTCTTGAATGATATTTTCCCTCAAAATAGGATTCTGAGTTGACAGTTTTTTGTTCTTTTCCCCTCAGAACTTTAAAAATATTGTACCACTTCCCTTTGGCCTCCATGGTCTCTGGTGAGAAATCTTCTGTCATTCAGATCGTTCTTTTTTCATACAGTTAACGTGTCATTTCTTTCTCACTGCTTTCACGATTTTTTTTTTTGTCTGCAGTTTTCAGGAGTTTGCCTATAAATCTGTCTAGATTTGAGTTTCTTTGTATATTTCCAGTTTTGGATTCACTCAGCTTTTTGAATCAGTAAGTTCATGTTTTGTTTTGTTTAATTTCACTTTACGAAATTTAAGAAATTTCCAGACATTATTCCTTCAAGTAATTTTTCAGCCCCACTCACTTTTTTGTCACTTACCAGAACTAGTGATGACACAAAAGGTAGATCTACTGTTTTATTTGAACAAATTCCTAAGCTGCTGTTTTTTCAATTCAGTCTCTTTTCTCTCTTTGGCTCCTTTGGGGTAATTTCTATTCCATCTTGGAGTTTATTGATTCTTTCTCCTCTATTCTTCTATCTTTAATTTTATTGATTCTTTCTTAGGTTATGACTATTCTTCTATTGAGCCTATTCATTGATTTTCTCTTATTGTATTTCTAAATTCTAAAATTTCCATTTGATTTTTCTTTATGTCTTCTATCTCATTGCTGAGACTTTTTAGTTTTTTGTTGAGGTTTTCCATTTTCCATTTGTTTTGTATTCATATTTGCTCATATTATCATTTTTATTATATCTATTTTTAAGTTTTCATCAGATAATTCTAACATATATGTAATCTCAAAGTTGTTATCTATCCATCGCCATTTTACATTCAATTTGAGATCTTCCTGATAATTGGTATGATGAGTGATCTTTGATTGAAACTTGATCATTTGGGGTATTATATTATGAGACTCTCGACTCTATTTAAACCTGCTTTAGTTGGCTTCCTCTGACACCACACCAGAAAGAGATGGGGCATGTGATGCCTCATTAAATTCAGCAGGCATGGAAGTTCAGATTCTCCTCCATTGAATCCCAAGGCAAGGGCTTCATTACTCCTGGGCAGGTATGGGACTTCTGTCTCCCCATTAGGTCTCCACTGATACCTCCCCTGGCTGGGAGAGTTTGAAGTTTCTTGTTACTGCTCATCATACACCTTCACTGACACTACAGCAGAGGTCTCTTTCCCACCTTGCTGGAGTCAAAGTCTCAACACCCCACTGAATCTTCTATAACATCACTCTGAGAGTGGTTTTTAATTGTACTTGGGGGACTAGGAAAAAGTGCATCTACATCATCTTCCTAGAAGTGAAGTCTATATAATCAATTTTAATAATCATTATATACCTACTCTTTGTTTTGTAAAACACGTAACATACTTTGTCTGAAAGCCTCTCTTCTGCTAAAAATTGTGGGTCCATTGTCAAGCTTTCTCGTCAGACAATTTAAGAAAGTGATTATTGGGAGCCGGCCCCTGGCCAAGTGATTAGGTTCGTGTGCTCTGCTTCAGCAGCCTACGGTTTTGCCAGTTTGGATCCTGGGCACAGACCTAGCACCACTCATCAAGCCATGCTGAGGTGGCGTTCCACATAGCAGAAATAGAAGGACCCACAACTAGAATATACAACTATGCACTGGGGGGCTTTGGGAGAAGAAGAAGAAAAAAAGAAAGCAATTATTAATATGTGTATCTTTGACTCACCATCCTTCTGCCTGAAGTTTGTGTTCTTTTTTCTTATTGGATAGATAGATTGATTGTGCTACCTCTCCATTACTTGTCCTGCTCCCTGCTTCTTGAGATAAATATTTCTGTCCTTTTGTGTTCCTGAAATACATGGACTAAATTAATGTCTTATTCTGGAAAAGCATGTAGTCTTCCTCTGTCTTATTAGAAACTGGTTGCAAGATTTCTTAAGCAATTCAGAAGATTTTCTTTAAAAAAAGCATATTTCCTATTTTGTACTTTGTTTCCATCTTTCTGTCACACTCCTAATATGTAATTGAGCAGAACGAAATTAATACCATTTACAAGTAAAAATATTTACCATAAGGTCTTATGAGGAAGATTATATAGTTATTTAAATTGCTCAAATTCATTCTCTATAATTTTATTTGTACATACCTCCATTCATATATGTTTATTTATATGGTTCCTTGTCAAAACATAAAGAAAAATATTAACCAACACATTAAAAAGCTAACTTAACCCAAATTAGTGAATCTTCACAAGGAAGAAATAGTATCCCCTTGCCAATTACAGATGTTAAATAGTTCAATCATTGGTGAATAACAATCAATTCTAAGAGAGGTAGTAAATTGTGCCTACAAGTCACACAGGCATGAGATGTAAAACAACGTAAGGTACTCCAACAATCCTGGACATGTCGTCCTGGAACATATTTTGCACAGAAGGAAAATAGAGTGCAAGGTATTTTAGTAGTCTCTAACTATTAATCTTCTGACTAGAAATGTGCCAAAATTAGAGAATGCCAAGGTAAAATCTTCAGTCAACGAAACATCACAAAGCATCATTATCAGGTTTTTGTAATGCTTAATCAAAATTTTTTTGTAAAATATATTTTCTGACCCTATTTAAAAATAGTATTTTGATACTTGAGAAAGAATACTTGAGAGAAACTTTCATGAGAGTGTACAAGGGAATAACATTTCTTATGTCCTCAAATTACATGCAATAGTTGTTTTTGTCACCTGTAAAATTGACCAACCTTAACTTCTCATACCTGAAACTAGTATCACATAAATGTATAATAGCAGTTATTTCATCAGAAATCTTAATTTTTTCACATAAAAATATGTTTTGCCTCTTCTCTATTTCTAGATTTGTTAGTATATGGCAAAATTTCAGAAGTTGAGGGAACAATAGCCAGAATTTTTTTTGTCTTTGAGGAAAGTGTCTCAAAATTCAGTACTGTAGATTAGAGAAACTAATAAATCTACTGCTGCACAAAGACCTCAAATACATGGAAAAATTATAAACGTAAATTTAAAAATATAATTTATACTAGTTACCTTTAAATTTCAATATTCCTTATTATATTAAATTGCAATATTACCTTAAATTGCAAATTAAATAATTGCAATATTTAAATTTCGGACTTCAAACACACATTATATCCTCTTTCTCTGATCATATTTATTTCCAAACAATAGATAAGAAATTATTTTCCCTTGAGCAAAAGAAGCATATCTATTTTTCAAACTAGTTTAGTGCATTTCTCGATTTCTTGTAACGGTTTTGTTACCCAGGGAATACTTTGGTAAAGCTGTTGACTGTTTCTAGTAGTTTCATTGCTTTGATGGTGTGAAGTACATATCACACCAGTTCCTAGTGTGTGAACGCTTTCTTCTCAAGAGGTTTATGCCCTCTCTCCTTACACTAAAACAGGCAAATTTTTCTGTGACGAATTCATACCACATACACAAAATGAGCATCTAGCAGCTTCTGCTATGTGATCCTCTTTAACTTGAAAGATGCTTTGTGGTTGCAGGGACTTTTACAAAGAAGATTGTTAACCAATTATTTATTGAGTACAACCACAGTCAATTGCCCACTTGCACTCGTAAGTATTTTTTAACTTTGTCCCCTTTTTCAATATTCTAAAGCATTTCCTTATTGCTTTCCTAATATAAAATAATCCTTATACTAACTAGCATATGCATAAATTCACATGAGACATGAAGTTATAAAAACCCTTGGCATATTCTTCCAAGGTAGTCAATCTTTTTCACAGAATATGCAACTTTGGATGATAAAAGAAATTGTTAATATGAAAGAGGGTTTGCTAAATACACAATTGTTGATAGATACTCTGAGCTTCTATTTTCCATGATGTTGTGAATGTTTAAACTACTCATTTTCTTTAATTTCAATAGCCCTTAATACTGATATGTCATTATCTAAATTATGTTAGTGGAAATAGTAGCCATAAGTTATGCATGGTTATTTAAACTAAATTTTAATTAAGTTAAATTTTAAAAAATTTAGTCCCTCCATTCATCGTTGCCATTTTTCAAGTTCTCAATAGCAAACATGTGCTAATGAACTCTGCATTGCACAGCACAAAATAGATCACTTCTTTCATTTGAGACAGTGCTGTTGGATAGCACATAATGCATAGCATTTTTAGGCTATTAAAATACTGCATTTATACTTCCAAAGTGATTATTGTTGAGATTCTTACAAATACTCTATAAATTAGTAAAATTGTAAAGAAAGGAAAAAAAGAGATACTATTCAGAATTACACTGTAAGTAGCAACACTTGCGAGGCTAGTGACCACATATGTGAACTTACATAGTTCAAACCTAACTAAAAGCGCAGATGAGAAATGACTCCTCACTCATTTAATAAATTTATCTAATTTCTTAGTCTCACAAAATAGATTCAAACGTAGACCTTGTTTTGGTAGGCATGATGCTTCCGTGCAGAGTTCTCTCTGTTGTATATTTTCATGTAGACAAGAAACACAGGAAAGAGATGGATATCAAATTGTTAAATGTGTACAAAAGAAGCCACTGTGAACCCAGAACCTTCTCAAGTTTGAGAAAGAAGGCAGTATCAATTTTTGACAATGAGTTTGTAAATGAGTTATACCGTCTACATTTTTTGCCTTTATTCTCAGAAGTTACTCTCTTAAAGTAGGAGAAAAGCAGATAGTGGATGAAAAGACAGAACAGGACTTTAGTAACAACCTTATGTTAAGATTATAGCTAATATTTGTGTGCCTGTTAACTTCTTTCCAAACCACTTGTTTCTCTTAGTTCAGGATCTCAAAAAGATTAAAAGAAGCAGTGTGTTACAGAACAACACATACCAAATTAATGTCATATGAACTCTGAATTTGTGATCACCTAACTTTGTGACAGTCATTCAGGCCCTTAGTTTCCTCTTATTTAAAGGAAACTATCTCAGTGGTTAGCAGTTTTATCTTCCCGACTCCCTGCTCCAACACACGCAAACTACAGAATAGACTTCTATAAATAACGAGTAGGAGAAAACTGATACCTGTAGTGGAAAGAGGCGGAGGATGCCCTCCTTCTCCGGCCCAAATTCTTTTTCTGTGCTTCCTCCTTCCTCCAATTTGATAACCACTGGATTAATGACAGCTTTGTCTTATGTAACAAAACAATCACCAAAAAAACAAACAAACTAGTAAAAACAACAAGCCAAAAAAGTACTCTAAAATATTGAGCTTTATAAAACAGGAAGCGGTTGTCATATTTGGAAGGGATCTTAAATATCACCCAGCCCAATATCCTAGTTTTACAGATGAATAAAATGAGACCTAGAAAACCAGAACCATCTGACTCAAAAATGGCTTATAATCTTAATTGAATTCTTTACCATCAACACGTTTTCCTATTTTACATTGATGTATTTTTATGAATAATCATAAAAATGTAGATTTTTGAAGAAACCTTAAAATTAATTTCAGTGTATGTTTAGTGCAACATATATGTATACTTCATATTCAACATGGCTAAAGTCCTAACCAGTTGCATTATTTGGATTGAATTATTTGAGCATCCGCTTTTTCCCTTATGATCCTACAGCCATATGCTGAAGGACAAGTAAGACACACCTGGGGAAAACCCACATCTAACTCATTTCAACACACCTGCCTGGTTCCTTCCACTTACATACCCTGTACTCCTGCTGACTGCAATTTTACTAATCCTGTGACCTCATAAAGACTGTCAGGGGCTGGCACGCGTGAGCAGCATGAAATCAAATGTGCCATATTGTTTAGCATCTGTTTCTAACTCCCCATGAAGTTTTCTTTGCAAACAGCACAGGACTGTCAGCTTCAATCAGCTCGAGAGAGAACTCCATAAAGATGCATCAGCCTTCATGTAGGATCACTCCTTACATGATCAGACTTCCACATGAGGCACGGAGGTATACAATGGAGAGTTTATGCATATTGCCCATATTACCAAAGGAGAAATTCCCTAGCTTTTGCCCTAATATCTCTATGTGTTTCATGAAACCTGAATGTGAAATATATCTCCTGGGACAAACGGCACAATTTTAGCAACTATTGTATACCTCTCCTTCCTCTTGAAATGTTTCACTGAAGTCTTCCATAAACTCTTTTGACTTGAACTCCTCAAGCATACCCTTAATCTCATCTTCACTGCAGATGATAACAAAATTTAAATATATTAGTGCCCCTTTGTAGAAACACACTTTTAAAGTTTGTAATGCAGTTTGAAACTGGATCTATTTGGGTTTCCTATCAGGAATGGTAATTAAAGAAAAATTATTTTATAAATTAGGAATGCACAAGGGCTGCAAAATAGACAATGTCTGATTTTAGGCTTTCTACACACAAACATGTTTAATCTGAAAATACTAAATAAATATCTCCACATTTCCCAGGATACAAAAACACTCATTTGTATGTTATGCTGTTGGAGATAGTCATTTTATCTCTCATAAAAGTTACATGCCTCTTCTTAAGATATCTAAGGAAAAAATAATTGTGAAGATAAAAGAAAATATATTTTATTAACCTAAAACACAGTAATGCCTTTTCCTCTAATCACTCCCAAAATATCAGTAATCTAATATGTACTACTTGTTTATAATCTTTGATCTGCTCACAGATTATTTAACAAATGAATGATAATACTATCATTCCTAATTTAAAGTTTCATTTATCCTCTTTTTTGTCAAGAAGATTCATCTGACTCTGTCTGACTGTGTTTTTATTTATTAACAGTTTAAGTTGAATTGATCAAATATTTTCGGAGCATTTCGGCCTTCGCATTCACTTTTCAGAGCACTCTTAAACGTCTGGCATTGAGCAGATGTCATTTAATGTCTCAAATAAGAAGTGCTCCACTGACTTCTTTGAAGGGACAAAGAGGTTGACATAAAACCGTAATACTAAATGGTTCACTACTGAATAGTAATGAAAGTGAGTCATCAAAAAGTAAACTACTTTGAGATTCTATAGGTTAAAATACTTTTATCAAAAATGATTTTTAATAGTACTTGAGTGGTAAAATTACAAGAAAATTCACTTATGTGAAAAAATCCATTCCTTGACCATAAAGCACAAGTGAGGTTCTAATACATATGTGTAGATCAGACCTGAGATTTCACAGCGCTGGCAGTCTAGAGGCCCCTAAGAATATAAGAATCCTGAAATCACCTTAAAAGTTATGAACAGGGTGCAAAGAATTGGCACAAAGACAATGAAAAGTAAGCTAACATATGTCAATTAATAAATTCTCCTCTCTTTTTCTTCTACTTTTCAATCCCAAATATTGTCTCCTTGCCCACTAGTTTATTTCCTTGCCTAGTAACATTCTAATCTTATCCAAAACTTCCAAGCACCATAATTTATAGCTACTAGATTGTAATTTCATTAATGCAAGTAACATTATCATATGTGAAGAAGCTAAAGGTTAAATAATTTTAAAAGATATTTGGATTCCTAAGAAAGAACTTACTAGACCTTATGAAACCAGCCTCAATTGAATAAATATTGCAATTAAAATTCCAATTATAAAACTTAATTTAAAACACAGCTAATTTTATCACACGGATAAACAAATACAATTAATGACTTGAATGGTTTCAATAGAAAATGTGTTTCCTTTAGCAAGCAACATATGTTACAAATTTTGCCAGGTAACTGTTTTAGTTAAAACTTACAGAATATTTTGAAACTACTGGGGAAAAATCTGAAAGGCATTATATAAGGATGCTGAAGACCCAAGTATGCCTGTATGTTCAAGATACAGCACTAAAAGTCACAGAGGGGCCAGATCATAGAGGAGAAAATTATTTGTTCCCCAGCATCTGAAAAAAGTAGAATTTCTGTTGCAGGAGTATATTTACTTTAAAGCAGCAGAAAGTTGTTAGAGTAAACCTTTAAGTAAAGCTAACTGGAGTATTAGCTGTCTTCAGTAGATGGTTAAGTGGAGAATGGACTCCGGAGCCACCAACAGATTAGCTACCTGTCACCTCAGTGATAACTAGGCAGATTTGCTGGGTGAATGAGACAGACCTTGAATTGGCTCAGGATTTTAAGAATATGGCATTTTAGAAGAAGAATCTCAGATAAGACATGGACATTACCATTTTTAATCTTTGTGAGAGCAGGTGGAAGAGTATCCCCTTCATAGGAAATGGTTATGTAGAAAAATACAAGAGGAAATCAGACATGAGCTGACTTACAGTGCAACTTTGGTGTGTGTGTGTGTGTATGTAGGGCAGTGTTTACATAACAGTGTAAGCAAAGAGGAAGACCAAACCATTCCACTTAAACTGACTGTAAAGTCATAGAGCAAGTTCTGATTCACTAGAAATAATTTGAACAACATAATTCTATCCTTCTTTAGCTCTTAGCTTACCTGAAATGTCAGATGATGTCATTTCACAAATAGCTCAATTGACCATTTTCAGGGTTTACCAGTTCCCATAGCAAGGAGCTCAAATCAATTTTTCTCCATACCATACAATAAAACGGCATTACTTTCTCTTCAAAATGGTATTTGTGAATGTCGAACGCATCCTTGTAAAATTTGAAAGCCAAATGATTAACACTACATTTTTATATTAACCACACTCAAAAATATATTATGCTTATTCTGGATTAATTAAAATATTTAAAGTCCAAGTGAGAATTGTGTTTAATTTTTAAAGATTTTATTGAATAATACACAAGTTTGATGTTTATTATTGATTCAGGTTGATCAATGAAGTTTTTCTTTTTAATTTCTATGCTACTAGATAATGTGGGGAAGAAATATAGTTATAGTTAAAATATCCTCTGATAACAAATAGTTAATTTAGAAATATGGAATAAGTTTAGTTATTGCTTAAAAAAAACTAAATCACTGTATCACTAAATGCAAAAATTAAAAGAATATAGTGTGAGAGGATTCCAATCTAGGGATCAGCCAGACTCATTTCAGGTATCTAAGTGCACTGATTCTTTTTGTTTTTGTTTTTGTTTTTTTGTGGGTTTTTTTGGCCAAAGAAGACTGGCCCTGAGCTAGCATCTGTTGTGTCTTCCTCTTTTTTTGCATGAGGAAGACTCACCCTGAGCTAACATCTGTGCCAGTCTTCTTCCACTTTATATGTAGGTTGCCACCACAGCATGGCTGATGAGTGGTGTAGATCTGCACCCAGGATCGGAATCCATGAACCTGGACAGTCAAAGCAAATCATGCCAAAATTAACCACTCTGCCATGGGGCCAGCCCCTCTAAGTGCACTGTTTTATTGATCAATATTGTTTTTCTCCTTTTACATCATGGTTTTTATAATCCATAGCAGATGATTAGTTTTCCTCACATTAGTCAAAAGTACATCTCCTCTATGAATAAGAATAATTACTGAATGAATTTGAATAGCTTTCAGAAAAGTTCTAGAAGAATTTCTGTGTAAGATATGGCTACATAGTTCCTGATTTTCATGTTCTCATGGCTACTGAATGCCATCCAAAGGATAGCATGTTAGCAGAGTTCATGGAAACAAACATGAGAACAAGTACCAAGGAGAAAAAGCACCTGAGAAGTAAGAGGACCTGGGTCATAGAAGCAAGGCCAGTGAGACCCTGCTCATGCTGTTGAGGATGCCTGTTCACCACAGACAGTGAATCCATGAGCTCTGCTGAAGCAAACTGAATAACGTAGTAAGGCAAATGAGAGCTGGGCTAAACAGATCCAAATACAAGCTGAAGGAATCTGGCCATTCAGTGTTGGAAACTCTAGCTGAAGTTTCGAGACCAGAGAAGTCTTGAAGTGCCAGAAGAAAGTTGAAGTCATAAGGTAGCAGAAACCGTAAGGAAGCAGAGAAAGCTTGTTGGTAGAGAGAGGAGAGTGAAGCAGGTGCGTGGAGAGAAGCAGGGATAATTAGAGACCATTGAAAAAGATGAGAGAGAAGCTGTTTCCTGGAGTTATTTCATTCTTAACTGCTATGGTCTCTTGAATTTTCAAGATTTGAGATGAGATGAGTGACTTTTTCCTTGTACTTGAAAGCTCCTCAGGAGAACAGACATGCATTCAGCTTTTAGAATTGTCATCTTGCATTATCTGCCTTCCTTCTTTCATTCTTCCTTCACCCAATCAATAACTAAATATTGATTGATCATCTACGAGGCCCACTTTGAGGTAATGAGGAAATAAATGGGAAGGAGTTTAACTTTTGAGGCACTCAAAATTGAGATTATTAAGCAAAGAGCTAATGACCACACATGAGGGAGTAGAAGCCTTAATCTCAAATTGACCCTCTGCTTTGGTGGAAGGGCGATAAGGGTCAATGTATGTAATTCTGCCATCTTCAAATAGAGTACAAGCTCATTGAAAGAGAGTACTTTTATGTCTTTTCCAATATCCATTCCATATCACAGAACGTTGAATGTTTTAGGCTGATATTACTGACATCCATTGCAATTTTGCAATGTTTTCTCCAGCCATCTAACACAATACCCTCTTATGAATAAATACAGAGAAGAAACTTAGGGTCCAAGGTCAACATAACTATTCCTAGTTATTTTACACTTAAAGTTGAATCAATAAAGTGAGAATAGTGTATCATATATCTTTGGTGGGAAAAGTCTTTGTGACCTTGTAGGTTTGCACAGCACTATTCTGTGATTTGTATTACTGTTTGGCGTCTAAACTTTATTCAATAATTTGTACCTCATCTTAGGCATCTGCCTATGCACTAATTGTGCTGTGGTGACTATAAACTGAAAGAATTGATCCACCTAAAGCAGTATAAAAGTTTGTTTAAGGCCCAAGTGATGCCATTAAAAGAATAAATTATTTAAATTTGATTACTTAAATTTTATTATGATACACTTCAAGTATTTTTGCCTGAACAAAAGGGAAAGTAAATGTATTTTTAAATTTTTAATTTTAAGCAATCTATGCTGGTTGAAAAACAGTTTAATGTATTTCAATGAATAAGAAAAATCTGTTTCCCTTCTCCTCAAAAAAATCTATGTAATTAAGTTAGCATGCATCTAATAATAATTTTACCAAAATCAATATGTGGGTCATAATAGGAAAAATAATACATCTGCTAGAAAAATGGATCATAGTTGTCATTTGATTAGCACTGACATTCTCTACTGTTTCCCTCTCCACGTGAGCTGTAATTACAATTATTCTATCTACCAAAAAATGGTACTTAAATATGAAGAAACTCTACTATAACCAAGCTTGATTTCCAGTATTAACTAATAATCATTTTTCTGAGAAGGAAACACAATCTACTAGAATTATATAACTCACTTATTATTTCTTCATTTATAATTGTCATCAGATCATTCAATGCTTTCAGAATTGCTCCAAATTTCTTTAAGATGAGTCTACAATGACAATGAAATTTCAAGATACTTCTGGGGACATTTTAGGGGATGGCCTAGGGATGAAAAGACACAATGTGATGGATTAGATAACCTTACAATAATCTAGGAGAGAGAATAATTTATGACCTGAGATTAAGCAGTAAAATTGTTCTGAAAATATTATCACTGGGAAAGCTGTGTGAAGGGTACGTGAAGATGCTGTATTACCTTTATAAATCCTTGTGTCTTAAACTATTTCAAAATAAAAATTTATAATAAATAAAATGACCAAACAGTAGAGTAGGTAATAATTTTGATATATATATATATAAGTTGAAAATTAACAAAACTGGTACAATATAGTTAAACCTCAGTACTGATTCTCATTATCATAAAAATAAACTGTGTCAAACATCCAACTAGTTCTGTAATTCATCCATAGCATATTTCTGAAAAGGACTGTATATATAAGTAGATCATAGTTTTCGTTTCAAAATTATACTGTGATTGAAAGGTACATTTCTATTCGAGGACCTAGTATCAAATAAATCATAGATAAGAGCATCAATTCATCACATATGTCAATAAGAAAATATGCCTATGCACTAAATATAAAAATTATTAAATTATCCTCAAAATTGCTATAAAGAGAAAAAGTGACCTAAAAATATTAATTTCATGAAATCCTTATGTATCATAATGTAAATACATAAAATATATAAAGATCAAATACTGTCTAAATTTGACCTGAAATAAGGATCTGTTATTTGAGGATAAGATCTACATCCAATTCTTCATGGTCCCCAATGAACCAACTCACTCTCTGGCATATAGCAGTCATTAAATAAAGATTTTGAAACAAAAAGAAAATTAACGAAATTTTGAAAAAATTATTTCTATGATGCAAACCAACTAAAAATCTCTAAAAGATTTGAAGGGATGATTTTTTTCTTTGGATAAAATATTATTATGGGAAATAGTAGCATTTAATCATCATTCCTTTGACCCTAATATATGCTCAAAGCATAGGGGATGTGTATGTGTGTATATAGGGGTGTGTGTGTGTGTGTGTGTGTGTAGAAGACTATGATGAGCATTTTAACAAATCAAGGAATTTCAATATTTTTCCCATTTAGCCTTAATTTCACCATGAACTAATGTAAAGCCACAAGTGCCACAAGAAAATAGACCGTCTTTATTATTCCTCAGTCTTCACTGCCGAGGAAAGAAGTGACTCACAAAGCATTTCAGTTATTGGGAAGTTATAAAAATTATTATGGAGATCATAAACCAAAATCCTATAAAAGAAGATTCAAAATATCCATTTAGAACTGTGATGGTTGGCAGTGTCCTTCCTAAACAATAGGAGTATTGACTGGGCAATGGTTTAAATTATAATTCATGCCTCTTTGTTAGGTATCAATAACCAAAGCTTAATAAAACTTACTAGGCATCTGCTATTTGCCAAGCACTGGGAGAAACTCATTCAAGCAATATTTCATTTAGTGTTTATTTAATATTCACAACAATTCTATTAGGGAGTTACTATCACTTAGAGTTATCAAAAGAGACAAGCGGGACTCATGGTGGCTAACGAACCTACTTACTGTTACATTTGTAATTTGTTGTAAAACAGAATTTGAACTCAGGCCCAAACTCTAAAGCAGCTACCTGACAAAGCCGTTGGAAGTAGAGAACGCCTTAAATAACATATCCTAGCCCAACTACTACATCAGAGAAAGCTGAAGTGCTCATTTTTATCATCGAAACATCATGAGAATTTATTTGGTGGCAAGGTTGGACAATTTCAGTTCATAGGTTGTAGGGAAGACTGTCTCTCAATCATCACTTTAAGGATCTTCCTTCTTTGACCTTTGGTCACTGGTTTTCTTTTTTAACCTCCAATTTTGTGACAAAACTCCGCACCCTGAGACTTTGCTCATTGCTTATCTGCTTGCTGAAAACTGGAAAAGAAACACATTTAGAGAAAGGGAAGAAGTGAAGGGAGAAACTAAGAGAGTATGATCAAGAGACTTCATTCATTCATTCACTCAAGACACATCTATTCAAGCTTCTAGTATGATCGGTCTAAATTAAATCATTTTAGGCAATTTATGCTTATATGCCTGATCAAGAATAGAATATTAATTTATATCAAAAAAATGAGAGTGAAACCATGTAATCATACAGGAAAAAGATGTACAAACACCCACAAAATGGACAATACCATCTTTATTATAAATTTATGTGTTTACATACAAAATATATTTTGAAATGATCTGTATGTAACACAGAAGTTAAAAACTTCTAGTCATTTGCTACTTGTAAATTAATTTATTGACAA